CCAGGCTCTGTCCCTGAAGCACAGCTGGGGAGAGGGGACCCCCACCAGTGTGGGTGGGCACCAGCCCCTTGTCTGCCTGTGCAGCCCCACCTGATGCTGCATGGCTGCCGTGGGAGGGATGGAGGGAGCCTTGGGATGTCCTCAGGACTCAGCAAGTGTCTTTCCAGGACTTGCCACCCTGAGGGCTGAGTCAGGCCAAGCTGGGAATGCCCTGCAGCACCCAGGGTCGTGCTGCTCAGCCTGGCAGAGGAGCCTGGACTACCATAGCCCCTTGGCGTGGGAAGCAGGGGCTGCTGTACCCCCAGGAGCTGTTTGCCTGCAGGACTCTGCCCTAGCACCTGGAGATGAAGGCTTGGTGCAGGGGAAGTGCTCAGAGGTCATCTGGTGCTTTCTGCACAAAAAAGCCACACGCTGTTCCTTTATCTTGTTCTCCCTCCCCTATTATCAATAGTTTTTCTGGTCTGACTGGATTTCCCTGCTGCCACATCCCCAAAGGGAGAAAGTCCACACAGCAGAGCTGAGGAGGGTGAACCCCCTGCCCACCAACGGCCTGCCCCAAACCTCTCTGCAATTGGGGAACATAAATAGCATCTGGTAAGTTACCAGCACAGGGGGTTTTGTGCTACCCTGGAGCAGGCACACACCTCTGCTACACTCCCATGGTACCCAGTCAGCCACAGCTGCTCAAGAGCGACGCATCCGGAGGGAGCACTTGCTCCGTGCTGGGAAGATGGGCGCTGGTGTCCAGCTCTGGCTGCTCTGTGCCTCAGTTTCTTGCTCGGGAAGAAGAGAGACAGGAGTGTCAATCTGGATGTGTCACCTTGGCACAAGGCTGCCTCGGAGCCGTGTGTGGCACCTGCAGCGGCTCCCTCTGGCGCCTGGCTGGGTTTGGTCTTGGCTGCCAGCGCTCGCAGGCACCCTAAGCTCCAGGACACGGCGCAGAGCCCATCTTGTCCCTGCTCCTGGTCAGCCCAACTCTGCTCTCCAGAGCCTGAAAGGCAAGGTTGGGCTGACCAGGACTGGGGAGGAAATGGGCTCTGCACCACCCACTCATCCCCGAGGTGTATCCCTGTCCCCCAGCCCAGCAAGTCCCCATCCGCTTCCTCCTGCTTCGGCCCGAGCCCCAGTTGAGGAGCTACGTGCCTGTGAACATGCAGCAGGACACGGTCCCTGCTTCTGCTAGACAGGCGAGCAGCCACACCGCAAAAAGGTAAGAAATGGAAACCAAACAAAAGATTCAAAGCCCTGCCCAGAAGGTGACACCGTGAGAGTGACAAGCAGATTTGTCTCTCAAAGCCCAGCAGGGAGTACCTATAGGCTGTTAACTTCTGGGGAATCCAGGGAGGAGTTGGGCATGACTGTACTAATGGCTCATGGTACTCACCAACAGCTTCACAAAAAGCAGGGCTGATGCTACAGCAGCTTCTGGACATGCTAAAGCACAGTTGTGTATTTCTTCCCCAAACCAGACATCTCTGTTTAAACCCAGCAGACCCTGGAGCTCCTGGCTGGCAGTGGGAAAAGATGCTGCTGGTTGCTGGCACTGGGTATCGTGTCTGCGCACGAGGAGGAATTGTTGTGTCTGAGGCATCTCTCAGGATACCAGACCCAATCCCACCATCAGTCCCTCTGCTTGTGCTGCTTTCAGCGCCATGCCACGTTGCACAGCCGAGGCCACACCTTTGCACACATTTTGCTGCTGCAAGAGTGGCACTCAGAGGTACCAAACCTCTTCTATGCGTGTTCCTACATACCGCAACGAGCTCCCGGGCCACAAACCCTACGGGCAGGTGGGCATTACAAAGCGAAGGACACGGGGACACAGATGCAGCGTGGGCAGCTGCAGGGCTGTGCATAGCACTCAGACACGGCCTGTGCCAAACCTGGACGTGCCAGACACGGTGCTGACAGGTCCCCGAACAGGAGCTGCCACCTGGTGGCACTGGGACAATGCTGCTGGCCTGCCAGCCAGGAGGACCTGGATGGGGACATTTGGGGTGGCCCAACACCATAGCACCAACTGTTCAGCTATGCTGGGGCTGCTCCGGCACAGCCCACCACTGCCGCTTTTGCTCTGGAACACACACCCAGGCAGGGAACTCACCCAAGCCCTGAATCCTGGCTCTTGCACGGGTGCTCTGGCTGTAGCTGCTCTCCACAGGTTTTGCAACACCAGTTTGTACCAGGCAAATGCCGCCTCCAAACCCCCTCAATTTCCCATGGCCGCTTCGGACCTGATGCCGCAAGGTCAGGTGGCTCTGGTGAGACGCAGCTGGACTTGTGCTCCACACGATGTGTCCCTGTGCGCACTGCACCTCGGCCAGCCCACAGTGGGATGGGACACCTTGGTGCAGGGGGGACAGAAGTAAAGTGAGGAGGCAAAGGGGACTGTCAGGTCAGAGCTGCTTTTCTGGGGCCAGAGAGGATGTGGTTTAGACCTCGCTGGGAACCTCCAGATCACAGCAAAGGGCCTTCTCCAGCCAAGATTATCCCTGATAACACCAAACTAACCGAGCTGTGCTGAGAGGAGAGCCTGGAGGGAACAGGCGGAAAAAGCCTGGTGGAGAAACCTCCTAGAAGTTTCCTTCCCTTGACTCTGGGAAGCCTCAGCTGCAAAGAGGAGCTGGGCACCAGGGGAAAGTGCAGGCTGGGGGCCACCAGCCTGTCTCCAAAGCCTCCTCACCCACCACGGTCCCCTCGCTCAGTGGGACTCAGCCCCATCCCACTTCCCAGAGGAGAGGGAAACAAAAGAGGAGGAGGGGGAAGGGAAGGGTCTAAGAGAAACTTCTTCCAACTTCTTAGGAAGAGAAAAGCCCTATTCAGGCAGGAAGAATACCCGTGTGGAGCTGGTCACTAAGCAACCCGCAGCAATTCGGCAGGGCCTGATATACAGGCAAGGAACAAAGCAGCTTCACTGCCCACCAAGAGCCCAGCCAGGCATGTGCCAGCAGGGAGAGGGGACAGGGGACAGCAGCTGTGCGTGCACAGCCACCACAAGGGGCTGAGATGCCCAGCGGGGTCTAGAGCTCCTGGGTGCTGCAGGAGTTTGTCCTCAGTCAGCTCTGGAGGGTAACTAGCCTCCATCAGGTTCCCCCTTCACGGGGAGGCTGTTTGCTGGTCAGGAAGGATTTCTGGTCTGCTCCAAAGCCCATGGCTCTCCATGGGTCTGGTGTTCACATACATCATGCCCAACAAAGGCATCGTGCATTTCGGGTAACTCACTGCTCCCATGGATACTGTGGGGCTCTTGCATGGGCACAGCAGGCAACACAGGCTACACCCTCTCCCAGATAATTCTTCATTTAGATTATTAATGTAGGGATTTGTCCTTTGTGAACAAGCTTACTCAGACATGAGAAACTGTTTGGCCTCTCTGCAGCACAAGGGAAAAAGGGACAAAAGAAATCAGGCCTGACAAACCCTGCTGACAATCCACGCTGAAATGCCTCCCTTGGAGCCCGGGGTGTCCCTAGAGACGCTGCCGCCCCCAACAGAAATGCTGCACAAAAGGAAAACCGTTCTCAGCCAGAGCAGGTCCACTGGGATCAGCACACAGCTGGCCTACAATCCAGAGCCCGATGAGCTCAGGGAAATGCGTTGGACCTGCCTGGACCCTGGAAGTGGGTTTTCGCCTGCATGGTGTCATGGGGGAAATATCCAGCCCTTCATGCATTTGTCTCCAGCATTTGATATACTTGGAGAGCAGCTGCTGGGACAAGGACAAACTCGCCAGGCATTTACCCACTTCCTCAGGGAGGTGGTTGGCCAGCTCTGATCCCCATCCTGCGATAACAAGGTGCATGAGTGGGGGATGCTCAGGTATGTCTACACAAGCTGCAGAGCACCTGCAGATGGAGGTATTCTCATTAATACTCAGTCCTGCCCTTTCCTAGCTTCATCGTCCGCTATCTCAGCCTTTAAGCAACTGCTTTGGACGCACACTAAACCACAACCCTCACGGCTGCAATGAAAAAATCAGCTTGGCCAAAGTACTGCCATTTATTTTGCTTGCAAAACCCCTTTCAGAAGGCCAATATGCTGCAGGCTTTCTGGCTGCAACTGGGCTCCTCTCAGCACGATGGGGGACAGGCACTCCAGCCAGCAGCAAGGACGGGTGGCATCCATCCCTGGACTTGGAGAGCTCCTACCTCCCCTGGCAAGAGGACAAACACAGTGCTCATGGCACAGCTGGGAGCCAAGTGTGCCAAAGCCCAACTAAGCAAGGATTTGGCTCACCAGGACCACGACACAACATTCACATGTCCTGCAGCCAGGGGAGCCCCAGAGCAAAAGGCAACAAGTCCAGCGTGCCCGCTGCACCATGGAGAGCATTTACCTGCCCTTGAGCTGATGGTGGTGCTCCTTTGGAGGTGTCATGACAAGGCCATACTGGAAAGTGGAAGTGAGACTCATCCTCTCTCAGCCACCTTGAAGTGTCCAGTCCACCCTTTTTATCTGCAGGGAGCAGAGAGTGAGCAGCACCTTCAGGAATTAAGTCAACCTGAGACAGGATCTGTGTGTCCGCCTCCATCCGCTGTCTGCTGAGGGAGCTTGCTTAGACAATACACCCAACTCCAAGATGGGCACCACTAATGGAGAGGATCTACTCAGAACAGAAGTAGCCCCAGCCTGAGGAGCATCTCCTTGCAAAGAGACAAAACCTGGATGAAGATGCAGGACACTGGATCGTATGCTTCCCAGATCCATCCTGGATTCTTCTCTCCCAATATCAGTGCCTACAACCATCAGCAACAGCCTTGCAGCATAGCCGGATGGGACTTCTTTGTTGGCACGCTGCATTTTCTTGCTGTTCTTCTCCTGGTCTGTAGCATTTGCACATTTGTAGAAATGTGAGAGAATAGAGGTGCTGAAGGAGGGAAATATCTTTGTGGGGATGAAATGTGCCTGGAAGTCCAGAGCTAACCTCGGCTCTGGTGGTCCTCTTCCGTTCCCAGTGAGGCGTTTTTAAGATTTCCCAGGCACTGGCCCTTGCCACACAATCAGGACCTCTGGTAAAGCTTCATGATATTCTCATCATGAAGCTTTTTCCACACCTGCTTCTCCAGGTTGAAGTCGTGGTTAGTGTAGAAAATCAGACGTTTCCAGTCCTTGTCATAGTAGTGATCTGAGTACTTCTCGTGACCCTCTGTGATGTAGCCATAGGCACTCACCTGGGAAAAACGGAGGGCTCACTGGGGAGATGTACCAAGGACAGAGGGAGCTAAGTGAAATACAGGACAGTTCCCAAATGGGGAGGGAGCACAGGACAGGGATGCCAGTCAGAGCTCCTCCTTCCAGACAGTGCTGTGGGCAAGAATCATCGTGCCCTTACCTGGTCACAGAGATGGAGGGCAGTCAGCAGCAGGAAGGCCCCCGTTGTGGGTCTGTACAGCCGCCAGTACGGTTTTTCCAGACTTTCAGATTTTAAAAACCTGCAGGAGGAGAGAAGAAAGCACAGAGCAGTTGCTGGGTGTAGTGGTTCAAGCTGGGCACACCTTGTTCCCCTGTAGCCTGAGTGGCATCTTCCCTCCTTGCAGCCGTTTGTGGCCATACGAGGCATTTCAGACAAGCCATGAGTATGCCCATGTGTGTGGGTACCACTGTATGCTCAGTAAAGCACGAGACCAGCCCAGAATGCTCCATAACCTGTACTGCAACCTAAGCCCAGCTCTGCCCCAGCTTTATGGAAGTGGTAGGTCTTGAGGCAGTGGGGATAAAGAGGGGGTAGATTAAAGGATCTAGTACGTTAAAGCCCACTCTTAAATCTGTCCTTTGCCTTGTAGTGCAGAATTGACTCTGAAGCTCCCTGTTATATCCTACTCCCCTTCCACATTTAGGAGTGAAACGAGACATAGGAAATGTGCAGAGGAGTGTCACAAAACTTGCTAGGAGCTGCAGTGTTTTGTGCCAGCAGTTGTTAGGAAGGTAGGAGTCCACACCAGGAAAAAATAGCATTCGAGCCCTCTTGGCCTTGGAAAAGACCCAAGTCAGAGGGGAGACAGCAGAACAAGCAGGGAGGTGCAAGCCATTTCGCATTGCATTTGCCTTCTCTCAGAGAAGGCATAAGTCAGCCCTCAAGGAGACCGAAGGGTAAACACAGCCAAAGCAGGGCACAACAGGAGCTCTTCTTCTACATCTCTTGGTCACGTGTGGCCCACGATTGGCAGGCCTTACGGTGACAGTGTCCAGCAGGCTTGTGAAAAGGATTAGAGAGGCAAAGAAGAGCAGCCAGGCCAGGCAAATGGGATGCTGAAGAAGTGCCTATTATTGTGTTTGAGGGCACAAACAACCTCCTGTGTCAAGAAGGGATCTCAGGAGAGAAGGGCTGTTACAGAGCCTTCCTCCAAGGTGCTAAGCAATGGGGAACATGAAAGGTTGGTCCTGAACTGGATCGACTATTCTGGCACTTTAGCAACTCTCTTCCCACATCTCAAGTTGCCATTTGCCCTGGACCTCTTTTGGATGCAGAAAGCCAAACTGTCAGACGGTTGTTGCTTCTCCAGCTCACAGACGTTGGACGTCTACCCACCACTAACATCCCACTGCAGCACCACAGAGAATTTTAACTGACTGCACACTGATGAAGCTTACCCCCAATCTGCTGGTGTGGTTAAACTGCAGTTACAAGGGAGTGAGCTGGGAGGAGAAAGCCCAGAGAAACAGAGATGGTGCTGGCCAGAAAAAATAAGCCTGTTAGAACACATAACCCCCAGCTCACCTGTTTTTCATGTATCTGAGGAAATCAGGGTGAACTACCAGGTATTTGTCCATTGTGAAATCTTCATCGAATCTCTCCCGGGGCCTCTGCCTAAGGACAGGAATGGGGAGACTCAGGACAAGCGCCTATATTTCATCACAGCTGGAAAGCATCAGCCCTGATGCACTTGGTGATAAGAGAAGAACGACAAACACTGTTGTCTTGGTTTTGGGTGGGATAGAGTTAATTTTCTTCCTAGTAGCTGACATAGTGCTGTTTTGGATTTAGTTTGAGAATAACATTGATAACACACTGACTTTTTAGTTGTTGCTAAGTACTGCTTATGCTAGTCGAGGACTTTTCAGCTTCCCATGCTCTGCCAGGTGCACAAGAAGCTGGGAGGGGGCACAGCCAGAAGAGTTGATCCAAACTGCCCAAAGGGCTATTCCATACCATGTGACATCATGCTCAGTATAGAAACTGGGGGGAGTTGGCCAGGAGGCTGAGATCACTGCTTGGGAACTGGCTGGGTATTGGTCAGCAGGTGGTGAGCAATTGCTTTGTGCAGCACTTACTTTGTATATTATTATTATTTTTACTATTGTTTTCCCTTCCCTTTCTGTCCTATTAAACTGTCTTTATCTCAACCCACAAATTTTACCTTTTTTTTTTTCCAATTCTTTCCCCCATCCCACTGGGGAATGGGAGAGTGAGTGAACAGCTGTGTGGTGTTTAGCTGCCTGCCAGGTTAAACCACAACAGTCCTTTTTGGTGTCCAACGTGGGGCACGAAGGGTTCAAGATAACGACAGATCTAACCAGAGTGTGTTAAAACAAATTTATTGTAAGTATTCATTATATTAGTTTAATAGTCACTGGTTGCAATGTTGATTCATTTGCTCTCAGAGTTGTTGTGCTTGTTCTCACAGTTGTGCTATGTAACAACTTACTTGCTGTATGCATTCCCTGTGGTGCTGTTTATCACCTCTGGGAGCTGGATTAAAGTTATCGCTTTGCTGTACTGTATAACACTGGTTTACGGTATGACAAAATTATTGGTCATGAGATTGTACTTAGCACTGTCCTCGTTCCCATACTTTGGGAGCCTCAGGAGCCATTTCTCAGAAACTATTAATAATTACACTTTTTACCTCTTCTCCTTGGAGAACTGATTATTGGGGAGACAGAGGGGGATGCTTTCCCCTGCTCCTTCACCACCCCTTTCTCCTTTAGGCTAGTTACAACAGCTCTTGAGAACTTTGAATATCCTTGGGATATTCAAACCAGCATCCTCCTACTGCTATGACCCCTGAATGCAGTTCAGGTCTTGTTTAGGGTTAAACAACTATTTAAGAATATCATCCAGAGATTGACCAGTCACTCCAACCCCCATGACAGGCACTGCAGTTACTCAAATCCCAGTGACAGGCACTGCAGCTACTCCAACCACCATGATATGCAATGCAGCTACTCAAACCTCAGCAACAGGCACTGCAGTGACTCTAACCCTAGTGACAAACACTGCAGCTACTCAAACTCCAGCGACAGGCACTGTGGCTGAACTAGAGAACCAACCCGTGCCGGCATCAGTCGCCCCTATACACAAGAAGAAATACACAAGAAGATTGGCTCATTCAGTAAGGGATGAAAATGAACCAGGGCCATCACAAGAAGAGGAGGAGGCAGCAGAACCCATAAATGAGATGGTAGCCACCTGATCCCTATCCCTGAGTGAACTGTGAGATATGGGAAAAGATTTCAGTCATCGTCCAGGTGAGCACATCATCACCCAGCTGCTCCAATGCTGGGGTAATGGGGCAGTAATCTGGAATTAGAGGGCAAGGAAGCCAAGCAGCTGGGATCCCTTTCTAGGGAAGGGGGCATTGACAAAGCAATTGGAAAAGGGGCACAAGCCCTCAGCCTCTGCAGGCAACCCCTGTCAGGCATGAAGGAAAGGTATCCCTTCAAGGAAGATGTTTATATGTCACCCAGGCAAGTGGACCACCATGGAAAGAGGAATCCAGTACCTGAGAGAATTAGCCGTGCTGGAGGTGATTTATAGTGACCTGGACAATGAGCAGTTACCACAGATCCAGATAAAGTCAGGTGCACACAACCCACATGGCGGAAGTTTGTACGGAGCGCACCATTGTTGCATGCAAACTCACTGGCAGTAATGATCTGGAAAGATGGAGAGGAACAAACAGTGGACGAATAGACTGGCCAACTCCAGCAATACAGAGTCTCTT